TGATTAGCCCTAGTGTCTTCGCTGCGGCAGATTGTGACCTACAATTTCGCGAGATCGGTATCATAAAGCATCAGGCAAACGAAAAAAGGGGTAACAACCTCAACAGCCAAACACCCCGCTTGCACTGCCAACAGTAACGAGGCAACCAGGCGTCTGAAAGTTGACGGCATAGCCAAATAAAAGCGATGAATAACGTAAGATTCTACGGTGGGGCAGCGAATGGGAGGATAATCGTCATCCTCGCTTAAATATGCGGCCAGGGGGTGAATAGTTGTCACTTGCTTAAGGAATTTGTAGTTCACGTCTAAATTGGTATGCCTGTTGATGCATGCCTCGTCTGAATGCATCGTCTCCAGGAATTCGTAATGCTTCATCAACAGGGCATAAAGAGGCACACAGAATTGGACGTGAACCATAAATCCATCAAGCGGAGATGAAAGTCAAAACAGCCACCACAGACCGAATGATTACATGCGGATGCCCACTGACCACATACTTAAATGCGGGGGACGATTACGTTTCTACATTCTGCCCCAGCGTAAAATCTTAGTTTAGTCATCGTTTTGAGTTAAAAGTTCTCACAACACTCCCATTTGCCTGACGACGAGCTGGGGAACCAGATTCAAAAATTCACACAAAAACCATCATTATTTCCCAAAGGATTGTATCGTTAATACATTTTGGTAACTGTTAAGCCAATAAACCTGCTCAGCGGTTGCAGCTTCTTCTGATAACAGACTGAACTGTTTAGCCCTAGTGTATTCGCTGCGGCAGCTTTTGACCTACAGTTTCGCGAGATCAGTATCACAAAGCGTCAGGCAAACGGGAAAAGGGGCAGCAACCTTAACAGTCGAACAGCCTGTTTGCGCTGCCAACAGTAACGAGACAACCAGGCGTCTGAAAGATGACGGAGCTGGCGCTCGCGTTTCTTGCCACTGCTTAAAAGCTGCTGCTCCCTGCCACAGCGAATCTGCTTGTAACCGCAAAACCAAAAGACAAAGGCTTTCTGCCTACTGTGTCAAATGCTGTGGTCCGTCAAGCAACTCCTTCACAAATCGCAGATTTGACCGGCAAGTGACTCACGACTTTACTTTCCCTGCACACCAGACGTTTTGCGTTTTTCAAGCGCTTGTCAAAGCAAGCAGGCGGGGACAGCTTAAGTAGGCAGCAGACGCAAGGGAAGAGGTTGGTTTTTCCTTAGAATATTTTATTCTAAATTTGCGAAAATTCCCATTGAAAATGTCAGGAGATAAACTGGTGAGCATATGTTTGTTTGCGATAACTTATCGCCAGGCCTTTACATTTATATGGTGATTAATTAAATAAACTATGCGGGTTGGTACAAAAAATAGTGGGGGGGAATCGGGGTTAAAAATTTGACCAGCGTAAGGGG